CATAGAGAAGTGTACTCGGGGTGGGGGGTGGGGGGAAGGGACGTGGGAATTGTATACTAATGAAGGCATTTTTTTTCTTTTTCTTTTTTTCTTTTTTCTCTCTTCGGAGGGGGAAGTGAACTGGTGGGGAGGGGTGGGAAGGGAGAAAATTGAGGCAATGAATGAATGGAAATCCAAAACCTCTCAAATAATAAAAAATAAATAATTTAATAATAGTCCTATTGTGTGGTTTTTGTGTTTTTTTTTTAACTTTACAAGTCATCTTTTATTCTAACAGTTTATATTACGGTGTTGGCTAATGTGTTGCTATGATTTCTAGAGCTATACAACTGGTATTTTAAATGCCAGCAGTGTCACTCTTGTTAGACAGCTGTCAATGGAGCTTCTAGACTCAAAGATGAGGAAGAAAGGTCTGCATATCTACTTCTAAAAATTAGCCAATCAAAACTACATAGGCTGCAAAAGAATACTATCCTATATAGTGCTAAAAAATTAGCTCCAGAGGCTGGGAAACGTTAAAAGAGTAGCAACAGTAATGAAATTGAGCACACAGACAATAATGAAGACTCAAAACCTCATAATTTTCCATCCTGTTGTATGTGGGCTGTCATGACTTATGACTAGAAACTAACAACAGGAACTGACCAAAAAGGATAGAAAAGAAAACCTAGAACATCAGCAATGTGTTTGATTTGTTCTATTATCTATAACTATGGTAAAGATATGCATTAGTTCTCTAAAGTGCTATCTCCAATTTACAGTAGTTAATGAAAAGGAGAGATTTCAATCTGAGGCTGTTTTCTTATCTTAAAAAAAAAAAAGATGCTTCCTCATAGCCAATTCAGTATTATTTGTCAGACAAATTAATACTCAGACAGATAAAATGATATAATATGCCCACCCATATTTACATTCCACAGCAATGTATAAGGCCTACTTTTATACTCTGATGATCTAAATATCTAGAAATCCTATATAAAAGCAGGAACTAACATCTAAAAAGTCAGATGCTAACAGACAGTAATCAGGTAGGTAATGAAGTTAAATGTTATATAAAAGAATTATCCTTAAGAAGGTATTTTTTTTTAATCTACTTCTTGTAATCTCTTAAAAAGTCAATGAACTTCATACTCCTGTATGGATAGAATAATAGAAAGAAAGCTAGTAACTCCAAAGTCCATATACTGCATCAAACATATGTATATATGGATGGACAATGAATAAGGAAGACAGAATAAGAGCCTATGTCCTTGGTATGTGATGCTGGCAAAGGGCACTGCCCATCCACTGCCAAAAGAACACACTAATTTGTATCAGAGGAAGTATAACTAAGGTGTTCCTTAGAAGTGAGGATGGTGAAACGTCATCTCACATACTCTGGGCATGCTGTAAAGAATGGCCAGTCCTTGAAAGAGACATCATTGCTGGAAAAGGTAGAGGATTCATTAAAGAGAGGAAAACTTTCAAGGAGATGGCCATAGTGAAGGTCATGAGAATGGTGCAGAATAAAGCAAGGTTCAGATTTGTTGTTAAGTGGTCACTGTAAGTCACAGCTAATTCAATGGCATCTATATATAACAAGTATACGCACTACTTACTATAAGGGAAAACTGGTGGCCTAGTGGCAAGAAGCTGTGATACAATCTTAAAGGCACGTGATCCGAATACACCAGATAGATGCCTCATGGGAGAAGGATGGGCAATCTCCTCCCATGTGATTAACTGCCTTTGAAAACCATTTGAAGGGTCAGCTATGGACTGGTTCAGACCCAATGGTACACAACAAAAACAAATATGTACTACTATACAAATATTTCAAAATGTTAGAAAATCAGTGTTAACAGGATTGCGATTCAAGCAATTCAATTCACTAAGAACAAAAAGGGAAATGTGTAAGCAACACTATCTTACTAACAAACTATTATTTTAGTTCAATTCTTAAATTTCAAATAAAAATTAAAACTGTCAATAAATTTCAATAAGGACTAAAATGTATCCATTTATACTCCCCCCCCCCATATATACTCTTATGACTAAAAAGAAAGCACCTTTGGTAATGGTCTTACCACTAGACTATTTAAGTCACTAGGTGTTAATACTAAGTTGAATGACATAAACTGAACCATTAATTGTTGGCATGTTTGTTTTCGATGGCACATAACAACAACAACAACATATTTTAACTATTATTAATGTTTTCTGAGCTCTGGTGGCCTAGTTCCAAGAAGATGTGCTACAATCCTGAAGGCACATGGTTCAGATCCACCAGCTGCCAGTAAAGGACGGGCAATCTCATCCCGTGCGATTAACTGCCTCTGAAAACCCACTGAAGGGTGAGCTGTGAGTCAGTTCCTATTTGACGGTACACAACAACAAGAAGTAATGTTTCCTTTCTCATTACCAACAATAAATCATTATTAGATAGGGATAGTTATTATACTTGGCAATTAAATAAGAAACTATATCCATAAACTAGCTTGCCTTCACGTGTTAGAATTTCACTAACATATACCATCCTTGAAACTAACATTCAAACCCACCTCTCATGCAATTTATAATTACCCAGATACATCTACTTATATGGTTCAAAAATTAAAAATTCAAACTTGTGATCAGGTCAGGAGTAATGCTAGAAACTCTTTAATTATATAATAATAATTAAGAACGCTTTCCTCAAGAAAATTCATATATCCTTTCTGTATATAATGTAAATTTTGTCTCAAAAATGAAGACTTAATTGGAAAACTACTTGTACTATGCTCCCATTTCTCCCACTCCTTTCTTTCTTCATCTTTCTATACTGTATTTTCATAGAAATACTTCTCACAATCTTTTTGAGAATAAGCCTCCTAAACTGTATAACTTATTGTATAACTATTCCATGTATGTCAAAATTAAATCTTAGAAATAGTGGACAATCCAATACCAATTCAAGAAAAACATTTTTTAAAAAAAAAGTGAGTGAAATACTCACTTGTAGCAGAACCAAGAAGATTTTTCGAAGATTTATCCTCCCCAGTATTATAATCCAATGGATAATCTGTTGAAATAACAGAGGTAAACCCAATTAAGAATGCTGCAGCTTATAAAAATTTTAACTATATGACAAGATTTTTTTTATTTAAGCCTTGAATAGATTTTACCAACCCTCAGGAAATGGCTTCATAATGATAGGAAAATGAATTAAGGAAACTTTAAATTAGTAAAAATCATAATAAGACATCTTGAAATAAAACCTGATAATGCAGAAATATAGAGTATTATAAAATTTCTCTCTCCTTCAGACTCATAGGATATTCCCAAAGGCTAAGCATTCAATGTGCTTTTGCAGGTTGAAGACAAATCAAAAGAATCAATACTAAATTCTACTATTTCAGTTAATTTCATGTGTTTAAGAGGTCTCAATGAGAATATTAATATATAGAGTTCCGATGTTATAAAAGTAGATTCTCACTGACAAGTACCAGACTGATATAGAGGAAACTCAATGAATTACAAGAAAAAATACAATAAAATAAGAGAAAAACTGGGCTTCAGATTAATAGAATCAAACATCTGGAGACAAGCATTGATTTTTTTAAATGACCCATTCCTATTAGAATTATTTTTAAAAAACAAAAGAAACTTATTATAGCAACCATAGTGTTATTTACCATAGTCTTCATCAAATAGTTCCTGACGTTCTGATTGATACTGAGAATCAGCAATCTCTTCATATTCTTCCACCATGCTAGTACCAAATACCCTGTTAACAATAATGTCATTAAAGACTTTCAAAGTCAAAACAAAACTCATCTTTTCACCTAAATTATAAACACATCAACTTCAGTCATGTTTTGAAGGACATTAGCTTTTGGATTCTAAAATATTAAAGTGGCAAGAAGCTGTGCTACAATCCCAAAGGAATGCAGTTTAAGTCCACCAGCTATTCCACGGGAGAAAGAAGGGTGATACCCTTGCATTGATTAAATGCCTCTGAAAACCCACTGGAAGGTCAGCCATGGGTCAGTTCTGACTCTATGGCACACAACAACAGCAACAGGGGTAAGAAACTGCCCTGCAATCCTGAAAGCATGCATTTAGAATCACAGCTGCTTCACAGGAGAAAAATGGGCAACCTCCTCCCATTAGATTAACTGCCTCTGAAAACCCACCAGAGGGTCAGCTATGGGTTAATTTGATTCATCGGTACACAACAACTATCATGTAGACATTTACAGCTTCTCTTAACATGTAAAATATTTAATCTCTAAGGCACATAAAAATGACTCAAGTTTTTATATCAGTTTAAGGCATCTGTAAAATGGCAAACACTCTAAATAAAATGAAGTTAATTTTTTCTTAAAGAAAATTTTTATATTTCTCAAAAATACATTCAAGAAAAAAATTGTTTACATTTTTATTTTACTATTATTAAAATAATAAAACAGAAAATTATTTCATTTGAAACATATTGTGATTTTTATAAATATTTTTTCAAACTATTCAAGAAATACATTTTGCTCAGTATTACCTTATAAGGCTTAATGGACAAAAGTGTTCTGATCCAAAATGTGATAGAAACTCCACCTAAAGAATGAAAGTACATGAAATAGAAATCTAACACAGGGCATCTGAGATTACTTAAGATGATGTGTCAGGTTGTTTTCATTATAGCATTTCTAAAACTAAAGTCCTTATTTCCCCAGAAAGCAATATTAGTAAAGTTTTGTTTTCGTGCCATGCATTAATATGCCATCCCCTGTTATTCAATATTGCAAAAGAGAAGTACCTTTATGTACTTGATGAACATCTGAAGCAAGAGAAAGGAAAAGAAAATTAGTTCAAAAGTTTGGGTAACATGCCATAGCAACTTTAATGATATTATTTTTAAAATATTTAAAGTATAGAAAGCAATGTATAGTGCAGATAACATTGTAGTATTCTTAAAGTCTTTCAGAAATCAAAGTAGTGATTTAAATTTTTATCATCACAACTAATTGGTAAGCTCTAAAATAAATATTAAAATTAACTCTAAAATGTTACTGAAGGAACCTCAGTAGTTCTGTGATTAAAGCACTCTGCTACTAACTGAAAAGTTAGTGAATATACTACCTGCTCTATGACATCTTTGGATACCCTGTGGAGTGTGGAGCAGTCCTACTCTGTTCCATAGGGTTAATGAGTCAGAATCAACTCAACAGCAACAGATTGGTTTGTTGTTGGCTTTTTTTTTTTTGGGGGGGGGGGAGGAGTAAAGTTATTAAGTTATCTCTAATTCATTACTAATATTTTCTAGTCTAGTAAATATAAATATGCTAAAACAATCACACTTCACAGTACCTAGAAATATCCCATGTCTTGAAATATTGTAGGTAAGTATCATGAGGGAGCTCTGGTAGCTCAGTGGCAAAAAGCTGTGCTACAATCCCAAAGGCACATGAGGTTTGAGTCTGCCAGCTGCTCCACAGGAGGAGGATGGGTTGCAATGCTAACCTAAAGGGTTACATACCTCCAGTGGTTCAAATATACCAGTAGCTCTCCTAGAGAAAGACAGGCTTTCATTAAGATTTATAGTCTCAGAAAATCTAAGAGTTGAAATTCACTTGATGGCAGCAAATCTGAGTTTTGATCATGTATATACTTAATTTACTGATAACGTATGTGCATACAAATCTGTACATGTGTGTAGGCTGAGAAGTAAATAGGATATTAGACATAACATGTATCCTTATATAATATTATATATAAACTGTCTCCATTTTTTCAAGTATAATCTATAAAATGGAAAATACCAATCTAGAAGAATTGATGTCTTTGAGTTGTGATGCTGAGAGAGTACTGAATATCCCATAAACGGCCCGGAGAAAAAACAAGTTTGTACTAAAGAAAGCAAAACCAAGGTGCTCCTTTGAAACAAGGATAATGAAACTTTCTCACATACTTTACCAGGTGGTCAGGAGGGACCAGTCCTTGGAAAGGGGCATCATAGTTGGAAAGGTGGAGAGTCAGGACAAAAATGAAGACTCTTAACAAGATGGACTGACACAGAGACTGTAGCAACAGAGTCAAGTGTGTTGGAGATGGTGAGAATGGCTCAGGATACATCAAGGTTCAGATCTGTTCATAAGGTTACTGTAAGTCATAGGTGGCTGAATGGCACACAACAACAAGATATATAGAAGGTACTTAAAAATTAGTTTATATATTAGCATTTAGTTTAGTTCTTTTAAGAAACATGCTCGGAAGGGTAGAGGGACAGTGCAGGAAAAGAGGACTCAGATGAGATGGACTGACACAGTAACTGGGAAAATGAGAGTAGGTGTGTCACAGAGAGTGAGAATTGCTCAGGAAAGAGCAGGGTTCAGAGCTACTGTGCATAGAGTCGGTATGAATCGAAGTCAACTCAACAGCACATAATAATAAGAAGTATAGCAAATTTATCATAATAAATTATGATAAATAAAAAATTATCGTAATAATTCATAGTAAATATTTTCTGCATTTTAGCCTCAGGTGTACCAAAGTTATTTTATGAAGCCAATCAATACCAAAATGCTCTACAGTCTCTGAGAATAAAAAAGGGACAAAAAGATAGGGGTTTAATATGCATTTTCTATGTAATCAATAAAATAATTCTATTAACAAAGTATATTATATAATAAATTATTCTTAGAAATCTTTAAGCATATGAACTACTTTAATTGTACAATGGAATGCAACTCTGTCACCTAGCAAATCCTTTAACACTTTTCCTATAGGATAGAAACTGCTCTCTTTCTAGAGAGAAAATAAATAATTTTTAGTACTTATTCAAAAAGAAACTGAAACTATAGCTTCATTTTTCCAAACATTGTTGAATCATTAATTGGGAATATCAACTGTATTTAGCAACTTAATAGACCAGGAATACTACAAGTTTATCCATCTATAAAAGTTAATTTTATACATGCTTAAAAAGATACAGTCAAATTCCAGGAGACAATTAGAAAGCTGTGCATTTTCATATTTAAAGAGAAAAAAGAAAAGCTGCTATCATTCCAAAAGGTCTTCTTATTAGTACCTTTTGTATGTATTTGAAAGTATGGTAATTATTTTAAGGGAAAGAGCACAGGAATAGGAATGTTTCTATTTTGTCTAAATCTAGTCCATTATCTAGATTTCTACTTGTTTCACTGATAGAAGCAGCAGAAGAGAAGATAGAATATTAATATATTTACAAATTTATTTTAGCTGAAGAGTTGGTCAGAGAATTGTTAAATTGATTACACAAAGGGCAAAAACCTCTTGACAACAATGTCAAATATTTTAAGAAGTTAGAAATCAGGATTGCTTTAAAGATTTTAGTGATAAGCAGTGATTTCAAAATAGAAGTTCAATATGGGTGATCTTTTACATGAAGACTAAAAAAATTTCAGCACAGCTACAACAAAAAACTAGTCTAGGTTCTCAATTATTAAAAGTCCAGTCACATAATATATCCAAACAAGAACCCGCTTACTACATTGTATACACCAGTATATTTCCTCTTAATTGTTCTGATTCAGGTATATACTTATTACAGAGTACAGTCCAGCGCATGTAAATTTTACCTTTACATATTTCGCATACATCTGCTCATCTAGAGGGAAACTCTGGACATTCCTTTCATCTCTACCATGGAAAGTACCCAGCTTAATCCACTTATTTATGGGATATCTAGAAAATATAAAACAAACACTCCTTTTTAAATCAAACACAACATGTTGAGAGATTCCACCATCTCTAAAATATTCTATGTATTATTCCCCCTTCTAGGCAAACACACTAATTTAATATAATTTAAAAATTACAGGTCTCTGAGTTAAATGAAATGCTTTCCCCCAACTGAACTCTGAAGGATTCCTCTCTGCTGGAAAGGAAAATCTTGGGAAATAAACCACACTACTACCAACTAAAAGACTGCACAAGAATAGACAAAAAGTGGGCATTTGTTTTGCTGTTTGCCAAACTTCTAACTGAATTGTAAGTTTGAAAGAAATATTAAATAGCCAACAGAAAGTCCTGGAAAAAGAAGGACTAACTCTTCACATACTGAAGAATATAAATCCAAGTATTAATGGCAAACAGAGAAAGTGTACCATCATATTTAAATGTGACAGGCCTTGGATAGCTGTTCCTCTGAGATCACTTGTGAAATCACTGATTGAGGGCTGCTACCATATCGAGTGAGAGCAGGTTGTCTTTGAGCAAGCTTGTAGGACTAGGGGAAAGTTGTCACAATTGGTAGGACTGAAAGCAATTTGTAACACTGACCTAAATAAAGCCTTGAGGCTGATGGTCAAAAGGAAGGGTCTGCGAGCAAGCTTGGGAAGCTGTTCTGACTGAAGAACTGTATCCTACTTCCAGCTTGACCTGTAACTTTCCCCAATAAATCTTGTAACTGTGAGTATGGCTTGGAAGGTCTGTTCGCCACTGCAAACATATCAGTAGGCTCACAACACAGTAATAAGAATTCTGGGAGAAATGGTTAATGTCAGAATTGAGAGAAGTAGGTGTGAGGACTGTGAGGGCATGTCTGACCTCACAGAAACTGGTTTTGTTTTGTGTTGTGGATGTTATCTCTGGGGACTGTGGAATTAGTGGAGATCAGATGCTGCCAAGTTTCCAGTAGAATTAGCCAATTTAAAAAAACAAAGACCAAAGGGAATATTCCAAAATGTGAACAATGGTAATCTTTGATTGTGGTTCTCTTTTAAATTCTTTAAATGTGTATTTCTTCTACTATCATCCATACACAAAAAGAGGTTTTAAAATTTATTTCAATAAAAATGTACTACATGATATAAAATGAAGCATTTGTACATATATATGCTTAATAACTTTTTACTGAGAAAAACTTTTACTAATAAACGTTAGGTGCAAAAGATCATGTGATTAAAAATAGGGCCTTTCAAATCATATGAGTTTAAATTTTAATCCTAAACCTTTCAGTTACAAGTGATGTGACTGAAACAAACCATTTAACCTCTCCCTATTTCCAGATCCTAAAACAGAATGAGTTAATGTAAGTAAAGTGGTTAATAAATCTGTTCCAGTGCAATGTTCATTATTGTAAAAAGAGCAAGGGCCACATGGGATAGTCATATCTAACTTTTACCAAAAGGAAACTTTTTCACAAAAGAGAACTGTCCCTGTCAATAGCATGAACAAGGCAAACCAATTTCCATGAAGTCAGGCATATCCTTCACGCTCTTCCTGAACCACCTTCTGCTCATCTTAACACCAATCTTACAGCTTTACTGGGTCCAAAATTGATGCAATAAGTCAGACCACACAGAAAAGTAGGGGGGAATTTAAAAGGTTATAACCTAGATTAGGAGAAGAATACAGTTAGGGCAGCTTCCAAAGTGTGCTTTATAGGCACCTCAGCAGCAAGCTTCCTGGGTTTAGGCCAGTGTTACAAAGTTCTCAGTCCTGCCAATATTGGCTCTCCCATCCCAATCCCCACCTCAAAGTTGTCCAACAAACTTGTGCAAAGGTTCTTCTTAGCTTAGGTCTTGTTCTGTCCATGGGACAGCAGTCCCAGTGCCTGCTCCATTTCAGGTCAGTCCTCTGGTTCTCCGCTGTGGATGTTGCTTTCTCTGATTTGCTAATGGGGAAGTTTCATCTTATTCTGCTGCTAGAGCTGCTCAATTTACTGGTGAGACTTGCCAATCCTCCTGTGGACTGGGCAGACTAGCCAGTCCTCTTGTGGATCAGCTAACATGCCCTATTCACATATTCCTGCCTATCCAACTGCAAAGCCAAGCAACGGCTAGGAAAGTCACTTTGAATAAACCCGTAACTCCACAATTATCTACCTACTTTTTCTACCTTTTAATAGCATTATAACTATTATAAACTGATATATTAAAACTAAAGTGACCCATTTTTAAAATTTTTACTGTAGATTTCTAACCTAGATCCCATAAAAACCAGTTATAACTTACCTGTCACTTATAGAAACCAGAAAATCTTTAGGAGTGGAAGAAAATAATTCATAATTTGCAATGTCAAGTTGTTTAACTTGAATTGGTTCACAGAGTTCAATAACAAACCTTGAAAAGGAACACAAGACAATTAGATAAACTAACCAAAATTAGTTTGCAATTAAAAGACATTGAAAAGTTTATATAAGCTTCAATTAAAGTTACTGATTACAACATAATTAAAAAAGATTTGCAGCCTCAGTTCTTATTCACTGAAGAATACCTTTACTCATCTCCATAGCACATCACTTAGGAGGAATATTCATTTTGCCCCATCATATTAAAAAGACATTTTAATTAAAGTTCTTTCTGGGAAAAGGAATATTTTCATTAGAGAACAGCTAGTGATAGTGTAAACCTGGAAATCTCAAAGACAGAATGGCATACATGTTGTTGTTATGGGTCACCAAGTTGAATACAACTCACAGCAACCTTATGAGCAACAGATCAAAACCTTTTAACATCCTGTGTCACTCTCACATACTCAGCCACATTCCAGTACATTGTTACAGTCACACTGTCAATCCAAATTCACTGAGGATGGCATATATGTTGTGGTGATTTACCATCAAGTTGGAAATGACTCAATTAACCTTCCAGTGGGTTTTCAGAGGCTATAAACTACAGAGGAGGAGATTGCCCATCTGTCTTTTATGGAGCAGCTGGCATATTAGAACCTTAGTTTATGAGCTAATGGCACAACTCCTTACCACTAGGCCACCAGAGCTCATATGCATTGCCTTTAAAAGTACAACAACTTTCTAAAAGGGGGATTTTAAGGAGTGAGGCATAAAGTAGCTGGCTTACGGGGAGCTCTGGTGGCCTAGTGGCAAGAAGCTGCACTGCAATCCCAGAGGAACACGGTTTGAATCCACCAGATGCTCTGCCGGAAAAGGAGGCGCAATATCCTCCTGTACCAGTCAGATTTGATTTGACGGTACACGCACACAAAATAATAAAAAAAAGTAGCTGGCTTACAATGTTTCACAAAGGTAGTTATTAGTAAGATGATATATACATGAAAAAATTAAAGGAAAGATTGTATAAAACTAAATATAAATACATGAAACACAATGTATATATTATTTTAACAAAGTACAGTAACATTTGTTTTATGTGCCACCAAGTCGCTTGCAACTCATAGCGACCCCATATAAAAGAGCCCTAAAAGCCGTTCTATCCTGTGCCAACCTCGACATCTCAAACACACTCATTCCCACCACTCCACTCACAGAATCAATCCATCATATCTAAGGTATTCCTCTTCTGCGCCACCCCTCCCCTCTAACATGAAGTCCTTCTCCAAGGACCAGTCCCTCCTTGCACCATGCCCAAAGTATGTCAGACAAAGTCTCAGAATCCTTGACTCCAATGAGCATTCCAGCTTCACCTTCTCCAGGACAAACCTGTTTCTTCTCCTAGCAGTCCATGGTATACTCAACACTCTTCTCCAGCACCACAGCTCAAAAACATCAATTCTCTGTCATCCCTATTCACTGACCAGCTCTCCAATGCATAGCACGTAATTGCAAAGACTATACCCGGATCAGGTGCACCTTAATCTTCAGCCTGACATCGTTGCTCTTGAGAGGTCCCTCACAGTTGACTTTCCCAATGCAATTCGTCTCCTGATTTTCCTGGCTGCTGTTACCAAGAGTGTTGACTGTGGTACCAAGTAAACTAAAACTATCTCAATCTCTTCACCATCCATACCGATGCTGTCAATTGGCCCAGTGGTGAGAATCTTTATTTTCTTGATGTTGAACTTCAATCCATACTGGAGGCTGTAGTCCTTGACCTTCTGCAGCATGCGTTTTAGGTCCTCCTCAGTTTCAGCAAGCAAGGTTGTGTCATCCACATAACCCAGGTTGTTGATGACTCTTCCACTAATCCTGATACCACATTCCTCCTCATACAGTCCAGCATCTTGGATGATTTCTTCTGAATACAGATTGAAAAGGTATGGAAACAAAATACATCCCTGACAGATCCCCTTCTTGATTTTGAACCATGTACTGTCTCCTTGCTCTGTTCTGACAACTGCCTCTTGGTCCAAATACAGGTTTCACATTAGCACAATCAAATATTCTGGGATTTGCATTCTTCTCAGAGTCAGCCATAGCTTGTTGTTATCCACACAGTCAAAGTCAAAAGCTGTTGCATAGTCAATGAAGCACAGATACACATTCTTTTGGTATTCTCTGCTTTCTGCCAAGATCCATCTAACATTAGCTATAATATCCCTAGTACCGCAACCTCTTCTAAATTCAGCCTGCACATCTGGCAGTTTACTGTTGACAAGATTGCTCCAATCGTTTTTGGATGATCAGCAGAATCTTGCTTGCACGTGACATTAATGATATTGTTTGATAATTTATCAAACCAAAACTAGAATTTTATCCTGAGGACAAGTTGCTTCAGATGTGCATGTTTGTTTAAATGTTGTATCAAAAGTACTGTTTATAATGAAGAGGAAGGAAAGTAATTTTAAATGTTTATACAGAAAATTGATTAAATAAAGTATGCTCAATAAGGAAATATCAAACAGTCATTAAAAATGGCTTTAGGAACTAGATATTTCATTTCTACAAATATCTAGAAAATGTAATTTAGAAAGGCTGAAAGTCTATCTATTGTTGGGGTAGGATGGCAAGGATGGAGAAATTGAAAACTTTTGGAGGAGACAGATATGTATGCTATCTTGAAAATGGTGATGATTTGATAGATATACTGAAGTACTGATAAATCAAAGGCTGTAACTTTTTTTTAAAAAAAATATATGCCACAAGTTAAAACTTACTAAATTAGATACTTTGACCTGTTAGTTTATTTTACAGGTATATTTTATTGTATGTCTATTTCAACAAATATCTAGAGATCTATATTAATATGAAGATACCACAAAATACTGACGCTTAGGAAAAATATTTAAACATACAATTTTATATATATAAAAAAATTAAGATAGCATTTGAGTAAAAAATAATTTGATGACATCTAATACTTTAATCAGTGCTTTAATTAACTAATTATTATATCAGATGAGATTATGCAAACAGGTGTCATATATATTAAAAAGTATTAAAAATAGCATCGTGTTTAATTTGATAGGAAAGAACCACCTATTTGAACTGGGAGAGATACACAGTCTGTGCATTAGAAGCTCAACTCTTTACAGACCATGTCACCAGGACTCTCTATTAGTGATCAAGGATCAATATAAACTCTACAGCAGACGAGATCTTAGTCTATTATGAAAATTACTTGCATTCCATCACCAGCATCACCACATGGCAGGTGCTCAAATAAAGACAAGACAGGAAGACTCAATATTCTAAAATGTTAGTTATCCTGTAATTTATGTAGATATTGACATTGACACCACTGCAATAAAAACTACATTATTTTTTTGCAAAATTTGGCAGGATGATTCTAAACTTTAAAAATCAAAGGGATAAGAAATGTCTGAAGAGCAATGAAGCATATATAACTGTTCTACAAAATATTAAAACTTATTTCTACAATGAGATAATTAGTGCAGTCTTATACTTAAGGTATAATAAACTACTTAAGCCAGGTGAAATAAGGTAAAAAAAACCAACCTGTTCTGAGGCTCAATAATCATACAACAAAGACACATACATATAGAGGCACAAAATACACACATATAAACATACATACACACATATATGCTACTTGGCAGGGGCTCTAATATATAAATAAGCTCTGTGTTCATTAATTCTGCAAACCAGAAAAAAAGCAAAATGACTGCTTCCTTTGAATTCACACTAGCCTATCTTCGCTGAAGATACAAAACTTTGCAGACAGAAAACTTGAGTTTTCATTCACTGTATCAGGATTTTTAAAAGCTCTGGTAAAGCTCAGCTGCAAACCAAAAGGTCAGTGGTTTGAACCCAGCAGCCACTCCCAGGAGAAAAATGTGGCAGTCTACTTTCATAAAAATGTACATGGGAACAATACAGAGTTGTTTTGGATGAACTGACTGCCAGCAATGGTTTTAGCTTGATGTTTATACAAGTTTTCATAAAGAAAAAGAAAACTTCTAAAATAACACCTGACTATAATTTCAAATGAAAAAAAATCATAACCTGAAATTTAATTTACATATCAATTGGCATGAGCAAAAATTAAGACTTTTTAAATTATCCTTTAATATCTTTAAATAACCTACAGTAAATTTTCAAAACAAATTAAATCTATTTTAGAGGCACATTTACAAAAGCGTAACAGCCAAACTATAAAAAAAGAAATTATATCTAAAATTTAAAATGTATCATATATATTTTACATTTACATAAACACAATGGTAGTAATTTACCTCATTTTTAAGGAACTTTTTTTTAAGACAATAAGTCACTAACATAAGTACTAGCTTACCACATTATTATCTGCCATCTTCTTTCCCGTTCTCCAATAAATCTGTTCTTTTTTCTATATTCTCAGTTAATGGCAGAAACATTGACCTAGTCAATGCAAATTTCCTACATTCTTTTCTCTCCTTTATATTGAAGTACTACATAAGAGCTGTCATTTTATTTGCTAATAATTTATTTATTATTTTTTTTTTTTTAGCAAAACAAGTGAAAAAAGTTTATTAAGGTAATAAGATAGAAGCATAACAAGTTAAAGGTGGACTATCCAGGAGTAAAAGTGAAAATAAATTATGAGGAAGGGGGTAAAGGATCCTTGGAAAGACAGAGGTGAAACCAGACTGTAAGTATGCTGCTGATAGGAAAGGAGACCAACAGTAATAATATTTTTTTTAAAATATCACCTCTCCCTTATATATTAATTGTCAATGCCTTAATTAAAGCCCTCCTTTCCTACCTAGACTATGATGACAGTTTACTAATTGGATTCTTTGCTTCCAATTATATTGTACTGCAGGCCACCCTCTGAGGTCAACTTTTAAAATGTTAAGAGCTTATTATTTCCCAATTTAAAACAAATTAAAGGCTTAGGTTTTGCTGAATCATTTCTACATGCTCATCTTCTACAACTGAAAATTCAACATGTCATCTTTAGACCTACTCCAGGTTGTTTCTATCTATAGGTACTCAAAAGAAACAAGCACTTTTTTTTTTATTTTTTTTTAGTACTATCTCCTTATTCTTTTATTTCTTGAATACTTTTGGCTCAATGATTTATCACTTCATATGAATCCTTTAAAATTAGTCTGCCTTTTCCTGAAAATCTTCACTCAACCCCTTTCTCCAACTAACATATAAACTTTATTCCTATAACACCAGTATTCTCAACAACACATTTTTTAAATACAGATTGTGATTTTAATAAAAGTTTACAAAGAAGTTAGATTTTCATTCATTCATTTTTTGCACATCCCTTCACCCCCTCCAGTTCACTTTTTTAAATATTCATTCACTGTTACACTATTACCTCCCCCATCACTCCCCCAGTCCTTTTTGCAATATACCTCTTATTATTATATTATACATATAATGCCTAATTATATAGTCCTTTTAAAGAGTTCTTTTCTTCATCTGTTCCAATACAATGTTCATTATCTATCCACTCTTATTCTATTCTCTTCCCAAAAACCCATGTGAGACTTGCTTTATAACAGTGGCGCTATGCAATATTTGTCCTTTTGTGACTGAGATTCACAGTACATTTTTAAATGACTTAATAATGGTCTAGATCTGCCATTTTTTGATGACCTTTTTAAAAAGAGGGAAAGCCATTTGTCTTCAATTGTGTACTTGAAGAGATAATAAGTGGAACCACAATATAGGCACCAATCAATAAAAAATTATTATATGAATAAATAAATCTAACCTAGCATGAAGCATTACATAATAATGTACATGTACAAATGTGCTTTTTAAGATTTTATATTACTTACCAAATTTTAGTGCTGCAAGGATTCAACATATAAAGATCCATATTTTCTATAAGAATAGCAGACGTGCTCTATTTTAAAAGAAGGGAGGGAATAAATTAAGTACAAACAATAAAAAGCTTATTTACTTCAACTCAAACTTTCTTGGATTTCTGTATCTGTACATCTCAAAATACATCTAAGCTTTAATCCATTTGAAAAAAATTAAAGTGACAAAAGTTTACCAGTAGGGTTTCAGAGTTAAATGAGTCTATCAAAAAAGTATTTAAAATTGAATGTTAGCATACATAAAAACCATTTCCTATATCCTTTTTTAAAATATCACAGGTTTTAACATCTGAAAAAAGAAAGCAAACTGTAAATCAAAATAACTAAGAAGTCATACATGAAAATTTCTTTAAAGGAAAAATTTTGCATTTTTTACTGAATGAGGAATATAGCTCTTACTAATATAGAGCTCTAACAAACCAATCAACTGTTTATATTTAATGAAGCTATTACTTTATACTCACATACCTTGGCTTCTGGATTGGCTGCCAATATTTTGGCTCCACATTCTACTGAGGCATAATTATTTCGATTTTTCTGGACCTTTTTGGTGGCATGTGTAACCCCACTGGGAGATGGATACATCGACTGACCTGCAGACAAACCTTATTATAAACATATTTATATGATGATTATAATTGAAAATATCCTCAGCAATAGAATTAATCTCAAAGTTAACAGGATGCCTTCTAAAGAGTAACTCTTAAAACTTACAAATTATTTTTAAAATATATAATAAATACTATTTCTCTCAACTTAAAATATCTCACAAACAAATTGGCTACAAAATTCTACATATTGTGATTTATATGCAAGTAGGGAGCTCTGGTGACTTAGTGATGAATTGTGTTGCCAATGAAATGGTATGTACTTCAAATTCAGCAGCTGCTGGAATACTATGCAGCACACAGGAGCAATAACTTTGTAAATTATTACCTAACTTAGGAGGGACTAGAGAGCATTATGCTGCATGAACTCAATCCCACAAGGATAAATACTGTGTAAAACCGTTATTGTAGCATGAGTATAAGGATCCAGGAGGGCTGGAAGAGGCTGGAACAGAGGGATGTGGATGTGCAGGGGGAGGGGGAGTAATCATTGGGTTTACAATTTGATGGGGACAGGGTGAGGGAAATTGAAAGAATTTGTTTGAATTTGTATTTGAGTTTTGTAAATAAACTAGAAGATAATTAAAAAAAAGAGAGAGATGAATAATCAACTCCCATGCAATTTATTGTCCATGCAATTTACTGTCAGTTCCAACAACAACGGTATCGAACAACAACAACTACTGTGTAAACAGAAAATAAAGCTGTAATATAAAAATCAAAGATTTCTGGGTGCATATTTTATTCTTCTAATGAAGTATTTTTCTATCTGGACCCTATCTTTAAGAATTCTTAACCCTAGGACTTATACTACCAGGGCAAAAAGAAAATATTCTAATACATCTCTATTTGCAATACATTATAAGAGTAATAGAGAGCATTCAAGTAATAATTCGAAGTCTCAATTTTTTTCACTGAGATGAAAAGCATTATTAAGCCCTCTCTAATTTACCCTAATGCATTCTAATATGATTAAATTTATATAATTAGACATAGGTAAATTACCAATGTCTGTGATCTTTGATAAATGGCAATGGTTGTGGAAGGGGTTCAGGCCTTTTGTTCATGGGGTCGCTAGGAGTCTTGCTCAACTTGACAGCAATCATCAACAACACAAACTACAAATAGGGAATTAACAAGCAAGTGTCCTCAGCGGTGGAACAGTTAAGTTACTGGCTGCTAAATGAAAGGTCAGAACCTATTCAGAAAGTCTTGGTGAGATCTACTTCCATTAAGATTAAAGAACCAAAGTCAAACCATGGATTTCAAACCAATTCCAACTCCAAGGAACCCAACAGAGCACAGGAGAACTGCACTACAGGGATCTAAAGCCTATAAATCTTTACAGAAGCTGACTGCCACACCTACATCCTGTGGAGTGGCTGATGGATTACATTTCTGTTAGCAGCAGACCACTTAAGCAATATGCAACCAACCACAAATATTATAATCAAGAAAAATGTATGCGACAGTTCTACTCTGCAATACATGTGAGTCAGAATAGATGGCACTCAGTATCAATCAACAGCTACTTGGGAAGCTCTATCTTTTAAAAATGTTAAAAATAAACTTCATTTCATCATTTTAAGAAAGGAAAGGGGGAAGATAGCAGATCCTGCTTACTTTTTTCTTTCTCTACTTCCATAACTTTTTTCTTCCACTCATCGAACGTTGGAATATCTTCTGGATCTTTGGGACTTGTTACAGATGTGGGGTCAATGTCTCCTGGCTTTTTGTAATCAGAACTCTAAAAAGAATGTAAAAATGAACAGATTTCAATTTTCAAATATTTCTGCCAAATTAATTAAGCCTTATGTAATAATTATCAACAATACTGATTGGGGGGGGAGAATTAGGTTTCCTTAAAAGCTGAATGTCTGAAAAGAATCTGTATCTCTTAGCTAAGAACCAATACTGGCAATATACACATGTATTGTTGTTGTGGTTGTTCACTGCCACTGAGTTGACTACAACTCACAAAGACTCTACAGAGCTGTGAACTCTGCCCTATCCTGAGCTATCTCACTGTTTCTGACACACCTTCCTTCATTACCCTAGTTATTCTGTCAATCTATCTCATCCAGGGTCTTTCTTAATCTGTGTCAACCCTCCACCCTTCCAACTATTTTGTCCTTCTTCAAGGACGTGGTTCTTCCTGGCAATATACCCAAAGTATGTCATCCAGAATTCAAAGTTCTTGCCTCCAAGGAGCAAACCTGGTTTCACCCACTCCAGGATAATCTGTTTGTTCTCTTGGCAATCCATGGTATATTCAATACTCTTCTCCAGCATAACAACTCAAAGGCATCAATTATTCTTCTAACATCCTAAGTCACTGTCCAACTCTCTAATGCATAGCAAGTAACTGGGAAAGACTATGGCCTATATCCGGTGCACCTTGGTAACTAGACTGACAACACTGCTCTTCAGTACTCTGGACAGGTGCCAGACAACAGACTTTCCCAATGTAATTTGCCCTTTGATTCCCTAACTGCTGGTGCCAAGAGTGCTGATTGTGGATATGAGCAAGATGAAATTGTTATCAACCTCAGTCTTTTTCTCCAACTATCAATGTGCTCCCAATTGGCCCGGTGGTGAGAATCTGGTTTTTCGATGTTGAGATGCAATTCATATTGACAACTGCAGTCAGTTTCATTCAGCAAGCAAGGTTGGTGTTATCTGCATAATGAAGGTTGTTGATGAGACTTCCTTCAATCCTGATGCCACATTCCTCCTCATAAAGCCCAGGTCCCGGATTATCTGTTCTGCATACAGACTGAAAAGATATGGAGACCCCAAGTGTGATGTACTTTTTTCTTAATTTTGAATCATGCAGTGTTTCCTTGCACCTATTCTGATGACTGCTCCCTGGTAAAACTATAGCTTTCGCATAAGCACAAAGAAATGTTCTGATATTTCTATTCTTCTCAATATTAGCCACAATTTATTATGACTCATACAGTCAAATGCCTCTGTATAGTCAATAAAACACAGATATTCTTCTGGTACTCTGCTTTCATCCCAGATCCATCCGACACGGAAAATTGTCCTAGGGCCACAACCTCTCCTAAACCCAGCCTGAACTTCTGGCAGTTCTCTGTTGATGAACTGTTGCAGTTTCTTTTAGAAAATCTTCAGCAGGATTTTGCTTGCATGTCATATTAGTGATACTGTTCCAACAATTTCTACACTCTGTTCGAACGCCTGTTTAGGGTAATGGTAATAAATAAGGATCTCTTTTGGTCTGTTGGCCAGGTAGTTGTGCTCCAAATTTCTGGGTACAATCTGGTGAGCACGTTCAGGGCCGCATCTGTTGAAATGTCAACTGGTATTTCCATCAATTTCTGGGGCTTTGGTTTTTTACTAATTCCTTCAGAGCACCTTAAAACTTCCTCCTTCATCACCATTGCCTCTTGGTCATATGTTGTTTCATTAAATTTTTCTATGTCAGCCAATTCTTTTTTGTACAGTGACTCCGTACACCTTCCATCATCCAATATTCTACCCAAAGCATCTTTAAGTATTGCAACTCAATGCATAAATTTGATCTTCAGTTCCTTCAGCTTGAGAAATGATGAATAAGTTTTTCCCTTTTGATTTTCCAACTCCAGCTCTTTGACATTTCGTTATACTATTTTGCTTTGCATTCTCAAGCTACCTTTTGAAATATTCTGTTCAGCTCCTAACTTCCCAGTATTCAGTCCCTTTGCTTTGGCTTACTGGCATTCCAATGCAATATTCAGAGTCTCTTTTGACATTCATCTTGGTCTTTTCTTCCTCCCGTCTTTGTGCCTTCTTCAATGAATAAAAATCTTGATATCCTCAAACAGCTCAGCTGGTCTTCATTTATTAGTGTTCAAAGTGTAAAACATGTTCTTGAGATGGTTTTTAAATTCAGGTGAGAAAGACTCAAGGTCAAATTTTGGTTTTTGTGGTTTTACTTTTCTTTAGCTTCTGTTTGAACTTGCATATGAATAGTTGATAGTTTGTGCCACAATCAGCACCTGACCTAGTTTTCACAGCTGATAATGCACTTCTCCAATGATTCTCCAGAGATGTAATTTGGGTGAGATACATGTGTAGTCACCATTTTGTGTATTTGTGTATTTTATAAAACATATTTGCAATGAATAAATCACTGATTGTACAAATCATTCTATTTCCAGGCTTATTTGTCATAAAGTCTTTATTTTGCAACTACTGATCCTTCTTCCTTGCTCCCAACTTTTGTATTCCATTCACATATTGTTAGTAATGAATCTCTCATGCTTGTTCGATCAATTTCTGGCTATAGAAGTAGGCAGAAATTTGGCTCTGGTTGTCGGTTCATATATATATTACCAGGTCTTCCTTGAATGTATGGATATTATCCTGTCACAACACTGTATTTCAGGATGAACCTAGAAAAGGTTTTTTGACTATGAATTTTTCCTCATCTTTTCATTTCCGGCATTGTAAACCATATGATTGTTTGATTAAAAATATTGAATGTCAATCCACCTCAGCTCACCATTACCTAGTATGTTAATACTTATGCTTTCCATTTCTTCTTCACAATGTCCAATTTTCGTACATTCACATTTCTTACATTCCAATCACTAGTGTCTGTTTCCAACTGTTCCTCCTCATTTGTATTTCCCAATATGAAGGCTCAGCCTCTGGTGACATATGTGCTATTCTAAAACTTGCTATGCATCAGAGAGCCAGAAAATTACTAAGGATGACAGAAGAAGTGATGCCTTTGAGTTGTGGTGCTGGAAAGAAGTCTTTTTCCTTTTTTTTTTTTTAATTAATTTTTTTTCTCTTCCTGGAGAGAAGTCTTGAACATACCATCGACCACAAAGAAAATAAATAGATCTATCTTGAAAAGGGTGCAACCAGGTTTATCTTTGGAGGCCTAGGATTTTGAAGTTCTGTCTCATAATATTCTGAGCATTTGGCCAGGAGGAAGCTATCATTGGAGAAGGACATCATGCTCAGAAAGGTGGAGGGACAACACAGGCGAGAAAAAACCCTGGATAAGAAAGACTGATACAGTAACTAGGGCAATGGGAGTAGGCATGTGACGAGTAAGTGAAACTGGCTCAGGACAGGGCAGGCTTCAGAGTTGTTGTACATAGGGTTACTATGAGTTGCAGGCAACTCAATGCCACATAACAACTACAATAACTGAAGTGTGCTCAATTGTTCATAGGGTTTTAGAAGGCCAACAGGACTTATATTGTTAACAAATAATCACAAGCTTTTAAGTTAATAAGATATATCTAATTGAGACTCTAAGCTCACTTTCTCTCTCCATGTATGTGTGTGTGTGTGTTTATGTGTATGTGTATGTGTGTGTGTGTGTGTGTGTATATATATATATATATATACACAGACACACACATTTATTTATTAAAAGAAGTCAACATAATATATGTAACATACTGTTCCCATAAAATCTTTAACAAGTATCATATACATAAAAATCTAGGCAGCTTAAAAACCTTAGACGTAAAAAGGAAAATTTTAGAACTGGTTTATGACTCAAGAGCAGTAAAAGTTTTATAAGATGTGAAAATTATTTACAAGATCAAAGCATACATTATAAAAAAAGTACATCTACTTAAGATTAAAATTTTAAAAATTCATCAAATGGTCCTACACTATATGAACCAGCTAGCTACAGACAGTAGTATCGAAGCATATTCAGTCATCAAAGACTTATTACCAACTATACAGAGTTCCTACAAATTAATAAGGGTGAAGAGAGGCAAAGAATATGAACAATAAACTTAACAGGATTTTTTTTAAATGCCCAATCTCAGTAGGAATCAAGGAA